TAATAATGAAGCCTTCTACGTTAGCCCTTCTTTTTCTTCAGTTGTTTGAACTGTCGTGCAGGGATGGAAATTCACTTCTGGCAATAAGATTCAATAATTGTCACGATCCAACTATTTCAATTTAAATGTTTCTAAAATAACTCAGAATAATTTATTTAAAATATAAAATCATCTCTCTCCCATCTTTCTCTTTCCCAGTATCAAAGACAATTGAAATTTCAAATTCAAAAATGTCTACCAATGCAATATAAGTCGTTCTAAAGAAATTACTGGGTTATTGATACTTTTAATGTCTAGTTTTAACATTTGAAAACAAGTACAATTAAAAGTTGATTCGGAAAAATCTGTCTACTTTAAATATATATATATCTTAGCCAAACGTGGTCAGGCTCATGTGCTCATCTAAGCATATTTGTTTTTCTTTTCTTAGATGTCTTTTTGGAATGAATATACTCTTAGGGGTCCTGGCTCAAAAACAGGTAAGACAAAAACAATATAGTGATGTATCAATTTTTTTTCACATATAGTATCTTGGTTTATTCTCCTGTCTGTGATGAATTACAGCTATTCTTTCAGTGGATATGGCAGACAATAGATCCAAGCTGTAATCAGTATATTCATCTTCAATAAGAAATTTGTGGCAGTTCTTCTGATGGACACAGCAGAAGGAATTGTTAAAACTATGATATTGGCAAAAATGATTACGGTACATTTATACTAGAAAAGGGTATTCACAGTATTACAACTTGATATTTTCTCTTTTAGATGCTATATTTTATAATATAGAATCTCCTCCCCAAATCTTTCCTAAGCTACTGGGGCAAATTGGAAGGGTATTAATATAAAACTTTTTTGGTTGACCCCTTGCAAGAATTTCTTAATAGAAGATACTTAAAATAGACTGCCACTGGTCAGGTTGAACTTCCTGACATGTCCTAATCTATCTAGTTGGGGTTTTTTAGGTATTCTTCAAACAGCAATTCTCTTCAGTTGGAGCAAAGAAGGAATATTTTGTGTTGACTGAGTGAACACATGGGACGCGGGCCTATTGCAGCAGGAATAGCAAGTCAAGGGATAAGAAGCCACTATTTTCTCCTCCACTTTCCTTTCTCCTGCCTGCCTTCAATTGCTACAGCTTGGGGGGGGGGAAACCTGGTACCCAAGAATTTTTATAATGGAAAAGCTAAGCAGAGAGATTTGTTTGGGACTCAGAGAGTTCTACTTACACCCCACAGAAAGGATCTTCAGGTCTTCCTGCCTAAAGGCCAGAAAATTATCATACAAAGTCAACAAAGTTTACTAAAAATGGAAAAATAAGGCAACCCTCTCTCTCTCTCTCTCTCTCTCTCTCTCTCTCTCTCTCTCTCTCTCTCTCTCTCTCACACACACACACACACACACACACACACACACACACACACGTAAAAGCCCCAGTAAAACTAATCACATTACCTCCTTGAATATGTTGTTGGATTTTAGCAAGTTTTGAGAGTTTCTTGTACAGAGAAAAGTCTGCCTCTCCTTCTTGTGCATTTCTATGCAGCCTTTATTTTTGTCCTTCCTCCATTTTATGGAATGTAGAAATAATTGAAAGCCTCTTTGGGCAAAACAGTGGTCTCCCCAGTCATGGAGACTGCTTCACCTCTGACTGTTACTTGTCACCTAATTCTTTAGCATTTAAGAGATATACTTGTACTTCAAAAGATGCATAATGGGTATATTGCTTTTATAAATCTAGAAAATAACTTAAGGAATTTATTCCTTATATTTATTGGCATACTGTGATCACATTTTCTGGCAATACTGGATTAAAGTGTGATTTAGGGTAGATCAGGAAACAATGAGAGGATC